AGAATGGAAGGAAACAAACAAGCAAAATGTTTTTTTCAAAGCGTATTTCATAACCCAGGAAAATGATGCCAACATACAGTGTTTCTCTTTTCTGGATTTTCTAAGTTTTATAAGAAGATGAATTAATATAGTCTTATCGTGAAAAATTTACATTGTTGTTAAATTGCTAAGTTGTATCCAACTCTTTTGTGACTCCAAAGACTGTAGCCCGCCAGGCTCATCTCTCCCTGGGGTTTCCCAGGCAAAAATACTAGAATGGGTTGCCATTTCCTCCTTCAGGGGTTTTTCCCTACTCAGGGATTGAATCCTTGTCTCCTGCATGGCAGGTGGATTCTTTACTACTGAGCCACCAAAGAAGCCAGAAAAATTCATAATATTACAGTCCAGTGGCTAAGAGTCCTGGTCAGGGAACTAGATCCCATATGCCTAAAGATCCTGCCTGACGCAATAAGATCAAGGATCCCGTGTGCTGCAACTATAACCCAGGCAGCCCCAAAATAAATAAATAAATAAGTTTTAAGTTAAAAAAAAGATTAGTTATATATGAAATGTGACCCCAATTTTGTTTAAAAAGGCATAAATACACTGAAGAAAATAAACATAAGGAAATCCACCAACATGTTTACAGTGTTCCTAGGATTTACTGCTGATTATTAACTTTGTTTTATTTTTCTATATTTTCCTTTTTTTCTCTAATTAGTATATATTATTCTCATAAACATAAAAAGTACAATTATTTTTTAAGAAAAATAATGTATTCAAGGCTAAGGAAAAGCAAGTTGGATGTCATCTACTTGTGAGTCATCAGAAACCTTTAAGATTAAAATTCTGCCTTTTGGAAGTACCTGTTCCCCAACCATGAGTCAGTCCCTGTTTGTTTTTTTCTCTTTGAAAGCTTCACACAGAGCTCCCCATTCGTTTGGTTTCCAGAACTTTACCTCCTTGCCTGATGGTCCTCCTTTTGAGTTCAGGCCTGGCTGTACTCTGTGGAGTTGAAGACCCTTGAAATTCCTGCAGTCACCAGTTTACTTCATTAGCCAGGAGGCCTGTTATTCATCAGTTAAAAAAAAAAAAAGAATCCATAGCATTTGTCTGGGTCCCCTGCCCCCAACACCACCCCTTTTTACAGTCCATGAGGATCTTCCTAAGTCCCTCACAGTTTTACTGAACCTCGAAACGCAAAACATTCAATGGCTCCTCATTTCCTTTAGGGTGGGTAGCATCCTACTTTTTTAGTCTGACATTTAAGGAGCCATAATAGAATTCCTTGGTGGCTCAGACAGTAAAGAGTCTGCTTGCAATGCCGGAGACCCGAGTTCGATCCCTGGAAGATCCCCTGGAGAAGGAAATGGCAACCCACTCCAGTATTCTTGCCTGGAGAATCCCATGGACGAAGGATCCTGGTATGCTACAGTCCATAGGGTCGCAGAGAGTCAGACACGACTCTGCGACCTCACTTCCACTCTCAAGGACCCATATGATCTGAACCACCTTTCCTTACCACTCCCATAAATCCATCAAATAGTCTGCTAGCCAGCCACACAGCCAGGCCAGGAAGGAAGAGTAATCAGTGAAGAGAGTTGGGTGTAAAAATGCAATGGGGAGGGACTTTCCTGGTGGTCCAGTGGTTAAGAACCTGCCTTGCAAGGGAGGGGATGTGGGCTAGATCCCTGGTTGGGGAACTGGGATCCCACGTACTTCGGAGTAACTAAGCCAGCACACTGCAACTAGACAGTCAGTGTTTCCCGGTGGCTCAGTGGTAAAGAATCTGCCTGTGATGCATGAGATGCAGGTGATGTGGATTTGAGCACTGGGTCTGGAAGATCCCCTGGAGGAGGAAATGGCAACTCACTCTAGCACTCTTGTCTGGGAAATCCTATGGACAGAGGAACCTAGTGGGCTACAGTTCATAGGGTCCCAAGAGTTAGACACAACTGAGCATGCATGCAGATTCCTCCAAAAGGAAGACCTGAAGAACCCAAATAAATACAAGTATATATATTTTTTAAATGCAGTGGGGAAAGGTGGGGGCTATGGCAAACAGGAGCAAAGGCACAGATTTTTTTAAAGGGGCTGTCACTTCTTGGTGCCAACCAATTGTCTGGTAGGATCTTTCAAGAGAATCGAGAAACCTGGATCTTTATTTGACTTTTAAATATTTGCAAGCTAATTCATAAGACATATCTGACCATTCTGCTGATCACAATTTGTGGCCTGTCAAAGGCACATATTGAACTTTCCCCTCTGTATCTTCACTTCTGCTGTTCTCACTGCCAAGAACCCTGTCACACTCATGTGGGTCTCAGCAACTCCCCCTATGTTGTCAGGCCCAGCTGAAATACCACTTCTTTTGTGAGCATTTCCAGATGACCTCAGCTAGAAGTGACACCTCCCTCCTTGGGGCGGCCCCATTTAGTCCTCATCTCAGGCCAAAGTTATTTTGATGAGCCCTGTCTCTCTTGGTAGATAAAGAGCTCCTAAAATACAGCTGACCCTCAAGCAATGCAAGACTGAGGGGCACTGACCATCCCTGTAATGGAAAACCCACACCTAGCTTTATAGCTGCCCTCTTTACCTGCAGTTCTGCATGCTCGAATTCTACCAGCTGTGGATCATATAGTACTATTGTAATATTTATTGGGAAAAAAGTTCATGTGTTAAGTGGACCATGCAGTTCAAACTGTGTTGTTAAAGAGTCAACTATACTCAACAAATATTTATGGAGCACCTGTTTCATTACAAGCACCAGGTTAGGCAGTGGGTATACAGCCCTCAGCAAGATGGAGAGTCTTTGCCTTGGAATACAGCATCTAGTACAGGATAGATTTTCAATGAGTCATTCTCAAGATACCTAATTTCAATGTGTGATGAGTTTTAAGGAATTAAGAGAGTTTCTAAAAGGAACTTAATCCAGGCAAGGGGATTAAACTGGTCACGGGGCTGTTCAGGGAAGCATTAGCACTAGCTGCCACCTAAGGCTGCCCAGTTTATATACTGCACTAAAGTAACGGGTGGGAAGTGTGGGGGAGAGCCTAGATCCCACCCAAGCTGCGCCTTTTTCTTTTCTGGCCTCGATGGGCGACTGCTAGGATCTCAGTTCCCTGACCAGGAACTGAACTCAGGCCACAGTAGTGAAAGCCCAGAATCCTAACCACAAGGCCATCAAGGAGTGCCCCAAGTTGTGTTTTTTTCCTAATTTGCAAAAAAGCACTCGTAGACTAGTGGGGGTACTGTTTAGTTCCTCCTCTCTCTTGACCATCCCCATAACACAAAAAGCTGCTCTAAGAATCTATACATCTACCAGAACATACCCCTTAAACTCTTCCTTCAAAGGCTGTGGGGACCAAGGAAGGCATCTCCGAAGAAGAGACATAGGAGTTGAGACTAAAGGTAAGAAGGGGCCAGGCAGCTAACATCTGAGGAAAACAGCATGTACGAGGCCTCTGAGGAAAGTACCAAAGCTGAAAGATCTCATTAGCAGCCAGCGTGGCTGAAGCCTGGATAGGCAGGGAGCTGGGTAGGCTGGGCAGTGACCACACACCACTCGTGGCCTGGAAGGCTACATTAAAGGGCTCGATCCTCATCCTGAAATGTCTCATATCTCCCCCTCTCTGACCTAACTGCTTATGGGTGTCACTGCCATGGGTGACCCCACAGAGAGCATGATAACACAAAGTACCTTTGCAGAGTACCTACCATGAGATGTGTACTGTGCTGGGGCCACACGTCAGTTCCCTCTGCTTTCCCTACCCTCCTACGGACGTGTTGATTCCAACTGAGCAATGAGAACACTGAGGCACAGAGAGGATGAGCAGCCTACCCAAGATTACCTGGCTATCAAGAGGTGCGGTGGGACTCCACGTCTCTGGCTCTAAGCCCTTCCTCCTGGCTGCCTTGTAGCAAAAACCCTTGTGAATAAACAGAAGGCAGAAGGAGCCGGGAGCCTGGCAGCTCAGAGGGGTCTGGGGGCTTGCAGCATTGGCACCACTGGGAAGCTTGTCAGAAATGTAGGAGCTCCAGTTCCACTCCAGTCCTACTCAATCACAATTCTCCTTTTACAAGAATCATGTGAATATTTCCAGGCTGAGAAACACTACACTACAGAATAATCCAAGCACACTGGCATATTGCCTTTGCAGCTCTTATACAACAGTCTAGTGTCTCAAAGGCCAAGTCTCTAGTGACTTGAGAACTACTTATTATAACCAAATTTGCCAGAACTGCCAACTATGCCATCCATCCACTTGCCCTAGTTCTGCCTCCTATTCCAACTCCAAGGGAAAGATCAAGACGCAGCTGCCATCACCTCCAGAGAGAGGCAACACTTTGTTTCTGCTCAATTCCTTAGCATGGATCTGCTTTCATTCAGAAAGGAACCTGAAGTCTTTAGACCATTGTCCTGGTTAATCACTCTCCAAAACATCTTCTATATGGGGTCCACTCTGATCCCCAGATAGTTTTCTGGAAACTACTTTTCCCACATCAATCCCTTTTCCAAGCCTGCATGCCACGGGAAGTAGAATGGTTTGGTGGACAAGATTGGCAGAATGGTTTGGTGGTCAAGATTAGCAGGTGAGGGAAAACTGGATTCTCCTCCTGTGTTAAGGCCAGATGTTGTGTGACTGGGAATCTCCCACTTTCATTTCCTCGTTCCTATCTGAGAAATGGGCAGAAGGACTAGATTACGAATCACTAAATTGGGGTTTGGCAGGTAACAGGAAATAGCCTGTTAACAGGTAACAGGTAATAGCCCAGGTGAAATAATAAGTAGTGTGGGCTGTGGCAAATAAGAGTATATATACCATGCCTTGATTAAAAAAGGCAGCCCCACTTAGCATTAGGCTATTGTCGTCTTGGGAAATATAGGTCCAGTGTTGGCATATATGCTAATTTTTCTAGAGCTGGGAATCAAATTTTGCCCAACGAAATATCCTATGGTGTTTAAACATCGGCATCTGGTTAAAACATAAACAAACAACACTGACTGGGCCAAATCAAGATCAGGTGCAGGCCAGATCTGCCCATGGGCTGCCAGTCTGCGATGCCTGACGTGGATGCCGCCTCGCGTTACTCAGAAGTTTATGATTCCATCCCACGTGCAGCTCTTCAAAACGCTGCTGTAAGCGCGGCCGAATCCGCGCGTTCTGGGGCCCGCCGCTTCTCCTGATCGCGGTCCTGGGCCGCACCCACGCCCTTTCCCAGCCCTCTCCGGGAGAGGACTGTGCGCTGGGACTCAGCCCTGTCCCTGGTGGCCGGGATGGGTCGCGTGGCTCCTGATTCTTCGCACCCTCCCTACCTGCCCGCCTGCTCTCCCGGCAGCGCCGCAGCGATGACTCAGCCTCTGGCTGCCCGAGTAGGGAAGGGAGGAGCGGGGGCGGGGGAGGGGAGAGGGGCGGGCAGGGCCGGGCCCACGAAGCGGGGAGGGGAGAGGAGGCCGGAGGACCGCGCGGGAAGGGAGGAGGGCGGAGCAGTGGGGGAGGGAGCTGCTCCTGGGGAAGCCGAAGGGTCAGCCCCGACCTTCTGCCGGCGGCCCGCTGACTCAGGGATGAGCGGGGGCCCTCGAGCAGAAGATAGGAGCGGGCGGCGAGGGGGCGAGGCACCGAAGGGGAGGTCGTGAGGTCCCGGCGTTCGTCCTCCATCCCTGAATGCCCTTGCTGGCACGCGCTTCCCAGCCCCGCCTGCGGACTCACCCCGGCCGCGGTTGGATCAGTGCTGGGAAAGACACCTTCAGATATGGCCCCTTCGTGAGCACCTCCCTCCCTGTGGAGGCCTTGCGGGACGGCAGTCAGAAAAGGACAGCGATGAGGGAGACGGAGCCCTGCATCCTAGGGCGGAGAGAAAACCCACACCGCCTGCCCGCAAGTGGAAATTTGAAGGCAGAAATGACCCACTGGAACATTTTGCTGGGCTACACAGTAGCTATAAGGCAAAGATGAATTTGGAAGGTGGCTCCAGGAAGTTTCCTTAGCAATTTTTTTTATGATATGGATTAACGAATGAATGAAATCTGGTACAGGAGCATATCTGTGTATAGAGAAGACAGGTTTTGTTTTTCTTTTTTTTAAATGTCGTTTTGTATGTCTGTGCTGTTTGCGAGGATGTATATGGGAATCTGTGTATCTTGAATGATGTATGCATGTGTATCTTATGGATATAAGCACACTGATAGCTGGATATATGTGCACTCTGTATGAGTATGTGTGCTCAGACTGTACCTCTGTGTATATGTACAGGTGTTTTTTTATGCCTAACTGTTAAACAGCTGTGTGTGTATATATATATACACACACATATATATATATGAGATCTATGGGCTTTCCTTGATTTGTATTTAAATATGTGAATGGACATGAATTTGTGGGTTTATGAATGTGCCTACATATATTAATACTTGGGTATGTATTGCTATTGTGTGCCAGTGTTGTATGTGTGAGTGTGTGTGTATATGGGACTCTGTGTGTCTCAGTGAGATTGAATTATGTTTGTGTATGTGTGTTAATGAGTGTATGGGAATTTATTTGTGAGTCTGTGAAGAGGGCCAGAGTGTGCTTTAAGGTTGCTTATGTATTTAGATAAGAGTATGTGTATATTTTTCTAAGTCTATGTGGATGTGACTAATGAGTCTGGGTGTGTTTCTGTAGCCTCCTACTGGGTCAGTCTGTGATAATCAGTCTGTGATTCTTTTTTTTTTTTTCCGGTTTCATTCACTTTATTATTCTCTTTATAAAATTATGTGGTGGCTACAGCTGGGGCAGCTGCAGTCTGTGATTCTTAAGGGTTAGACTAAATCTTAAGGGTTGCGCTTCTTGGAGGAGGAGGTCCTCAGAGGGTGGGGACTGTGGAGGTAGGAAGAGCCCCCGGTGTGCTGGCCCACTGACCTTCCGGAGCCGTGGGGTCAGGGTGAGCAATGTAGGCTGAAGCAAGACACAGTGAGCTCGAATCCCAGAATAGGTCTTCCTCAGGGACTGCTCTGCCTTCCTCCACCCCCTCAGGTCTGCTGCTCTTGGGACCTCCGTGTTGTCTACCTTGTCAGTGCTCTTCTGCAGAGGTATGACCTCGGTCATTAACAACAGTGACATTATACAAACAGACATTTCTTCAAAGAAAAGGTACAGATGTCCAAAAAGCACATGAAAAGATGCTCAGCATTGCTAATTATCAGAGGACGGCAAATCAAAACTACACTGAGGTGTCACCTCACACCAGGTAGAATGTCCATCATCAAAAACTATACAAACAATAAATGCTGGAGAGAGTAGAGAAAAGACCACCCTCCTACATTGTTGGTGGGAATGTAAATTGGTGCAGCCATTATGGAGAACAGTATGGAGGTTCCTTAAAAAACTATAAATAGAGCTACTATTGGGCTTCCCTGGTGGCTCAGAGGTTAAAGCGTCTGCCTCCAATGCGGGAGACCTGGGTTTGATCCCTGGGTTGGGAAGATCCCCTGGAGAAGGAAATGGTAATCCACTCCAGTATTCTTGCCTGGAGAATCCCATGGACGGAGGAGCCTGGTAGGCTACAGTCCACGGGGTGGCAAAGAGTCGGACACGACTGAGTGACTTCACTTTCACTTTCTATGATCCTGACATCCCTCCTGAGCATGTATTTCAAAAAGATAACATGCACCCCAACATTCATTGCAGCACTATTAACAGTCACCAAGACATGGAAGCAACCTAAATGTCCATTGCCAGAGGAATAGATAAAGAAGTGGTACATGTATACAACAGAGTATTACTCAGCCATAAAAAAGAATGAAATAATGCCATTGGTAGCAATGTGTTTGGACCCAGAGATTATCATACTGGGTGCAGTAAGTCAGACAGGGGAAACCAAGTATCATATATCACTCATATGTGGAATCTAATTTTTTAAAAAAAGACACAAATGAACTTATTTACAAAACAGAATTACAGATACTGAAAGCAAACTTGTAGTGACCAAAGAGGAAAGATAGGGGCAATGGATAAATCAGGAGATTGGGATTAACATACACATACTACTACATAAGATAGGTGACCAACAAGGACCTACTGTATAGCACAGTTTTGTGATAATCTGTATGAGAAAAAAATCTGAAAAAGAATGAATATATGTATAACCAAATCACTTTGCTGTACACCTAAAACTAACACAACATTGTAAATCAACTATACTCCAACGACTTCCCTGGTGGTCCAGTAGTTAAAGCTTCATGTTTCCACTGCAGGGGACATGGGTTCAATCCCTGGTGGGGGAACTAAGGTTTTGCATGCTGCATGACACGGTCAAAAACAAAACAAGGCTATACTCCAATAAAGTTAAATGACAATAACAGCAATATTATGGAATACTTACTGTGTGCCTACCGCCTGAAAGCAGTGAACTGATATATGTTCAAATGAGTATCCCCAGTTGTACAGCGTGGGCCAACGAGGAGGTGAAGTACCTGTTCCTGGTTACATAGCTAGTCAGGGTGCCTCGGGGTCCAGGGGCTACATGGCCCCTTAACTGCCAGACCAGGCAGGGCCTCACAGCCTTGATATGACTGACACTTGTGGTCAGCAGTGCAGTGTCCCAGGGCTGCCCCGTCTGCCGTAGGATCTTCAGCGTCATCCTTGGTCTCCATGTGTGTGTGCTGTGTGCCGTGTCCGACTCTGTGCAACCCCGTGGACTGTAGTCTGCCAGGCTCCTCTGTCCATGGAATTCTCTAGGCAAGAACACCGGAGCGAGTTGCCATTACCGACTCCAGGGGATCTTCCCGACCAAGGGATTGAACCTGGGTCTCCTGCGTCTCCTACACTGCCAGCTGGGTTCTTCACTACCGAGTGACCTGGGAAACCCGGGGACAAAATCACCCCTGACTGGGAACCAGTGCACTAGACCATCCTGCCTCCCTCAGTAAATGTTTTCTGAGAGGCTGATCTGCACCCTGTCTGGTGGCTTCAGTGGTTCCTCTTCTTTCACAATGATCTTCACTTCCACTTAGGGAGCCCCTTGCCTCTGTTGCAATCAAACAGAAAGTTACCTAGCTAGGCCACCTTGTCTAGCAGCTCAGCCTCTCTAAACCTCAGTCACAGAAAGCATAGGGCTTAGCACCTTGTAGATACTACTATCAGTTCAGTTCAGTTCAGTCTCTCAGTCGTATCTGATTCTTTGCGACCCCATGAATCGCAGCACGCCAGGCCTCCCTGTCCATCACCAACTCCCGGAGTCTACTCAAACTAATGTCCATCGAGTCGGTGATGCCATCCAACCATCTCATCCTCTGTCGTCCCCTTCTCCTCCTGCCCCCAATTCCTCCCAGCATCAGGGTCTTTTCCAATGAGTCAACTCTTTGCATGAGGTGGCCAAAGTATTAGAGTTTCAGCTTCAGCATCAGTCCTTCCAATGAACACCCAGGACTGATCTCCTTTAGGATGGACTGGTTGGATCTCCTTGCAGTCCACGGGACTCTCAAGAGTCTTGTCCAACAGCACAGTTCCAAAGCATCAATTTTTCGGCGCTCAGCTTTCTTCACAGTCCAACTGTCACATCCATATATGACCACTGGAAAAACCATAGCCTTGACTAGACGGACCTTTGTTGGCAAAGTTATGTCTCTGCTTTTTAATATGCTATCTAGGTTGGTCATAACTTTCTTTCCAAGGAGTAAGCGTCTTTTAATTTCATGGCTGCAACCACCATCTGCAGTGATTTGCGAGTCCAGAAAAATAAAGTCTGACACTGTTTCCACTATTTCCCCATCTATTTCCCATGAAGTGATGGGACCAGATGCCATGATCTTAGTTTTCTGCATGTTGAGTTTTAAGCCAGCTTTTCCACTTTCCTCTTTCACTTTCATCAAGAGGCTTTTTAGTTCCTCTTCACTTTCTGCCATAAGGGTGGTATCATCTGCATATTGTGAACTTCCAGATGTTCAAGCTGTTTTAGAAAAGGCAGAGGAACCAGAGATCAAATTGCCAACATCCACTGGATCATTGAAAAAGCAAGAGAGTTCCAGAAAAACATCTATTTCTGCTTTATTTATTATGCCAAAGCCTTTGTGTGGATCACAATAAACTGTGGAAAATTCTGAAAGAGATGGGAATACTAGACCACCTGACTTGCCTCTTGAGAAACCTATATGCAGGTCAGGAAGCAACAGTTAGAACTGGACATGGAACAAAGGACTGGTTCCAAATAGGAAAAGGAGTACGTCAAGGCTGTATACTGTCACCCTGCTTATTTAACTTATATGCAGAGTACATCATGAGAAACGCTGGGCTGGAAGAAGCACAAGCTGGAATGAAGATTGCCGGGAGAAACATCAATAACCTCAGATATGCAGATACCACTATAGCTCTTATTATTATTTAAAATA